AGGTTGTCGACATAAACAGTTGTATATTGAGGATTATTCTCAGGAGCTTCGTTATTGGTTGCTGTCTCTTTACCATCCTCTACATCCAAAGCTATGAGATGTAAGTTTATTTCACATTTGGCACAAATTTGAAGACCCGTCAAAAGGTAGAATAAAAGTAAATAAAATAATTGTAACAGTTTGTGGTTTGCATTTAACGAAACAACAATAATGTGAATACTTGTTTTGAAAGCTGCAATAAACACACCTGAAGAGCCATTGGATAGTTCTATGACACTTTTGGCATCAGAGCTCTGCTTGTCATCGCTGGTACCAACACCCTTTGTTGCCCAATTACAACGAATCTGTCGACTGTCAAGCCACTTCCCTATAAAAAAAATCAAAGAACATATGAATTTTAATGCAATATCAACCAACATAAATATATGCATGAGGTAGTCTGTTTAAAAATTAGTGTTAACTACAATTATTCTGGTTCAGCCGCAATAATTTAACGAATTGCTACTATAAACATGGTGCAATTAATGGCAAAATAAAGGAAAAACTTTGTTCGGATAACTGTTTCAGCAACCTATTAATAGTTCAAAGCATGATAGAAATGAAATCAACTTTGACGCGAAAATTCACAGCTTTAGTGATAAGCTAAAGCAGTGGTTAATGAAGATAAAACATGTATTGCGTAAAAAGCATTATCTTACCATTTAAGTCATTAATTGCACTTTGTGCATCCTGAACAGATAAAAGAAGTCGATATCAATAGATGAAGCAACATTATACTGGAAGAGAAACACCAAAGGCCACCACAAGCTTAACCAAGAAACAGTACCTGCTGGTTGCGAAAGGAAACAAACCCAAATCCTCTTGAACGCCAAGTTTTCTGATCCCACATAGCTCGTGCATCCCTGAAATCAGTAAAGACATCAGTTTCTTCATTCATATATCAATCTGAAAGCAATGTGAAAAACATTATTACAGGTTTACTGATAAATGAATTTACAGTTTGCAGATAATTTATGCATTTAGCTTTAATAAGTTACAACACATGATTATTTAGTGGCATCAAGATCAAAGGAAACAATGCTTACGAACAACTGGGATAGACAGAAAAGCAGGAGAATAACATCGCATCGGTAACCCCAGGACTGAGATCCCCAACAAAAATGTTAAAGTGACCTGCACCAATTATGATAATATCAAAAAGTTGATAAAATAATCCAACTGGTCATGTATATTTAGAGAGAAAAATTTGCAACCAAAAACATGCCCAAACCTGATGTATCCTCTCTCTGACCACTAGCATATGCCTAATTGACCTTGATAGGCTGTCCAAATCTTTAGATTACATGACGTGAGGTAAAAGCACACTCAAAATACAGCAAGGGGGACAAAATTAGACGTTAACACTTACAAATACCTTCCATTAAGAGATAATATAGCAAGGGAAGCTGATCTGCGATCGAAGTAGTGGATAAATCCGTATGACGACTGCTTAATAAGAGAGAGAAAATAGAGGGCATGTCAATCATATGACAACCAATAGGCTAAAAAAAAGGGAGAAAGAGTAGTAAAGAAAGTTAACCATAGAACGCTTAGAACATCCTCAGAGCATATGGGGAAGAAAAAAGGATACTAGTTTGAAAACAATACCTTTTCCCTTCTGACAAGTTTGCAACTTTCAACAGGACCAGTACTAGCAAAAACCTCTTGGAGTAGTGGTTCAGTCGCTTGTGTATGTATGTTTCCCACATACCTGCAGTTTCTCAAAATAAAAACTAGAAGTTTAAAAAGAAAAGAAAAAAGTAAAAGGCTATAAGTAACTTCCTGAATTGTTAGAAAGGGGACATAACATAAAAGCTATTACATTCCCAAACTATTCAATCATCAAGTAAAAGAGATAACATCTCAAAATTTAGCATTAAGGGTAGCAACTTTTTCCGACCACAAGATTCATGAAGGAAAATGTACACAATGTATATTGTTATAAGAATAAAAGTGACTGGGAAATTACTCAATTAAGAAGGGGAAACAAAAGACACACAAAATGCAGATGAACAAGAAGGAATTGGAAGAAGAAAAAATTAGGCAAACACTCACACACTGCGGCAAGTACTTGGATCAAAACCAGGTGGCAGATTTCCACTTGGGATTGGCTCTATCTGCAAAATTAAAAATGTGAAAAAAAGGAAAATTGAGAAGGGGAAACAAAGAAATGATGTATGAAGTGTCCCTTCCCACTCAACCCAATTCTAAAGCATTCAAATCAAAGAAAGAAGAACTTTTGAAGGTATCCAACACTCAAGCTAAAAAAATATAAGATGCTAATTACAACCATCAGAAACCAGACAACTTCTCCTACCTCAATGAAAATCACTTTCAACTTAAAGCTAAAAACTACTATATCTGCTTGCTTTCACCGCGACCCCTTTTTCCCCCTTTGATTTTTCAACGACAACTAGAGCAAAATATTCCGCCTCATCTAGACAAACATACTTTAACAGAATTGTAGTGCCTGCCCTGAATGTATCTTCGAGAGAATGTAAATGTATTAAAAGTACCCTGTACTTTATAAATTTGCTTCATGCAGTCAACCTAACGAGTCACGAAATGAAATTCGGGAACCACGCTTTATGTTCTAACACTTGTCTTTAAGAAAGAGAAATAAATAAATCGATTGAACATTTTTTGCGAACATGGGATAAAGATATAATACGTGTAAGAATGAACAAACAGATGATTGGTTGTACAACAGAGATAGTATAGGAGACTAAAACACATCCAATCATTTCTCAACATTTGCAAAATAAGAAGATTAGGATCACAAGTTAAACAAAACCAAAGTAGTAAAAACAGCAGCAAATGAGAATGAAAACACTTATTAGCTATCCAATGGCAACTTCAAATAAGAGAACCAACATCGGAGCTTCATGCAATAATGAAAATCTAAAAATATTAAGAAACAGAACAACCTCTCACCAAATTCCAAACCAAAAAACGATGAGTCTCACTTTACAAAAGACACATACTCATTTACAACAACAAAAAATGAAGCAAAAAAATCAACTTTCCGATCGATAAAGCATGTCAGAGCGCTGAAAACAGCAAAAAGGAAATAAAATCCACTCAATTCAAGCTAAACCCCACAGAAAAAGCATATATTTCAATAGCTAAATCATCGCCACATAAATTCCCACTAACTCTAGCTCCAGCAATCAATTACAAACAAGAAACAAAAACACGAGCTCGAAGACAAAAAAAAACGCAAGATCCAACAAATCATTCCTAAAAACGGATCAAAAACCTCTAGATGAACAAAAATAAAAGAGATAATATATCAAAAAAAGTGTAGAAAACCTGTGGAGGAGCTAAGATGCCTGGGTGATATAGAGACTGTTGCTGGAGGAGAGCTTGTTGCTTCAGCATCTGCTGCTGCATTTTTTCCTTTTACTTTTCAAGGCGATATTCAAGGGAAAAGTAATCCGGTTGTTTGGTTTCCGAGAAAATTACCCCCTTTTTCCCTTCTATGTCTTCGCTAGGGTTCAATCATAATCGAGAAAATGATAGAAAATAATAAAACTATGAAAGAAAATAAATAAATAAAGGTGCCTTGGGACTTTTACTTGTGATTTAATCAAAATTATTTATTTATATCATAAATATTCATGTTAAGTAACGAAATTAATATTTATTTTAATTAGTGAAATTAATATTTTTGATTAAAAAATAATATTTTAGATAATGTTTTATCGAATATATTAAAAAATATTTATATTTTTTGTAACTCCTTTCTTTAGCCTTATATTAGGCTGTCGTACAGTAGAATTACCCGATTATATATAGGAATGGGTATGTGTCGGATTTTGACCAACACAACCTGAACTGAAAATTTTACATTATTCACCAGACCCGAAAAATATATACCCTCCACCCGACCAGACTTTTTTAGATAAAATTCGAATATGAATCTGACCTGACCAAAAATAATAAAAAATATTACTTTTTATTCAATAAAAACAACGATTTAATTAAAATATATATATGGAGAGATTTATTATATTTATTCTAAATATATAAGGTAAAATTATATTTTTTTGGTTGGGTCCAGTCGGGTATTTTTACCTTAAAACCGAATCTAAACCGACCCAAACATTACCTTTAAAAAACCCGACCTGATCCCAATTTTTTTTTAAAAAATGAGTTAGGTCGAAACTCGTCGGGTTCGGGTCTCATGCCCATCTCTAATTATATATGTAGTTTATGTTTATCTATATATTTAATCTTTTTTTAAATACTTTCAATCATTTGATAATAAATGTTCAATTACCTATTATTATCACTAGTGTTCAAACTTGTAAAAAAATTTCAATTTAATCACTCAAATTTTAAATTGTTCCTATTTAAATTATTCTAACTTATTTTATTAATAATTTTTTATGACATGATATTTTTTATTATTATTTCATTAATATATAATTAAAAATAAAAAATTAATTTAGAAGTTAGAATGATTAAATTATGAGTAATTTGAAAGTGAAGTAATCAAATTAAAAAAATTAAACTTTAATGATCAAAATAGGAATAAAAAGATACTTGAGTGATGAATGATATAATTTATCCATGAAAAAGAAACCACGTGCAAATCAACCATGAAGTTTACAACGATGATGTACTGAAACGAAATAAAAATTAAACGTTAGATATAATTTTAAAAAATTAAAAATTTAGATACTAAAACAGATAAAAATTGATAGTTTAAATACTAAATGCGTAGTTTGCCAAACTATTTTTTTCCATTCATAATTTACTCTTATATATATATATATATATATATTCGTCTACCCCTCTTCATTTTTTCCTTTAGGAAAAAAAAAACCGTTTTTTGAAACTCCCCTTTCTATCGCTTGATCGCATCGAGAGCTCTCCTCCTCCCCGCTTGTCTTTCGAGCTTCGACCCCCCTCCCCTCTCTCTCTCTTACCCGCTTTATTGAAAACCCTAACTCACTGATTCACAATCCTTCCTCCCAACTCGGATTACTCGCCGCTTCCATCCGCCTGTATTATCGATTAATCAAGTTTTCTAAGGCAAGGATCGCTTTTTCCCTCCCACTTTCATCTATTAATTTCTGTTTATTTCTTGTTGAAAAATCCGGAAGCGAATGCATTTAGCAGTTATATTTTAGGGTTACTCGGTTTATATTATAAATTTTCATTTAGGGTTTTGGATATGGAAGTTTCATATTTCTGTAAATTGCTCTTTTTAATCTGTAAAATATGTAAGCGACGATTATTTTTGCATTTGCTTTGCTTTTGATTTCTAATAAAACATGCAACCGTTCCAGACATTAACCCAACTATTGTCAATAAACAGGGTCTAATATCCTTTGCAAATTGATTAAAGGAACTGCTGTTTATGTGAAAATTTTCTTGCAACAGTTGTGCTATATTGTCAGCCAATATTTTTGTGCAGTTTACAATATCGTGCTTAATGCAGTTTATTTTACGCTAAACTGACCTGGATTTTTTAGACTAGAAAATAAGGAATTTAGGCTTTAGCTATTGTTTTCATTCTTGATATGAGAGCTTTGTTGCCTCTGTAGTTAACCTGTTGGATGTACGTGTCTATATATTTTTCTAGTAACATATTTAAGTAGATCATGATCTGCCTCTTATGTGTTCTGAATAAATGATGATTTATGCATATATAACCAGTAGAATAGGCGAAGATGGACCATTGACAGCAGTTAATCCTAGAGGTTTATGCTACATTTATAGGTGGAAAGTTTTAGATTAGCAATATGAGGATGGGTATGTTGTTAATGCTACATTTATAAGCAGGAAGTTTTAGATTAACACTGAGAGCGCTGAAATTTTAACATTGGTGTGGCTATGCAGAGAAGTGCATCCCCCCCCCATTTTGCAAATCCTGAATTTGAAAAATTCAAGTGTTAATGTTTTATAATTGGATCTTAGAAGTGTTGAGTTTATACTAAAAACTTACTCTATAGGTGCTTTTTCCTTCTGAGATGAATATCCCACAAGCTTTGTTGCCCAAATCTTCTGCTAATGGATTTCCCCGTCGAAGAGGTGATAGAGAGGGTGGGGCTAGGTTGGAGAATAAGGTGCAGTCAGGAAAACCTAATCAGGGAAGAAATCAAACTACAGGTGAACATTCTCTTACATGAATGTCTTATTGTTGAACTATTTTCCTGATCTAAGTAACTTGGTATAGGCGAAGTGGCTGGTGGGAAGGCTGGAGGATATGAGAATTCTTCCCGTGATCGGCTAGTTTTTCTCACAACCTGTCTCATTGGGCATATGGTGGAAGTCCATGTGAAAAATGGATCAATTTACACTGGAATATTTCATGCAACTGATGCAGAAAAGGATTTTGGTATTGTATTTCTTTTTTTTTCATATTAATTATGCATCTGTAATTAGTTTAAAAGATTGAGCTTTGTTCACATCGAACTCGAATGCGAATAAAGTGAACTTTGAAAAATGATTCATCTTCTTAACATCCACTCTGTTACCACTTCAGGAATAATCTTGAAAATGGCTCGCATGATAATGGAAGGTACTTCGCAAGGAAACAAGGCTGTTACTGATTTTGTTAGCAAGGCACCCACAAAGATTTTAATTATACCTGCCAAAGAACTTGTGCAAGTTATAGCAAAGGTTTTGCTGATTTTCCTATATTTAGAGTTCCATCCCTGGTCGAGTTACCAGTAAGAGATGAATTGTCTAGTAGTCTATGGGGGGCTTTCTAATTACTGATAGTCTGTTTCAGTTAGATCATTGTGAATGAATAGTGAAAACTTGGTTAAAATAAAATAATGCTATTTTTTATCTTTTATTTCTTCAATGTTAATTTGGTTGTTCTTAAATTGATTTCAGGATGTGGCTGTAACTAGTGATGGATTTGCAAGTGAGCTCCAGCATGAAAAACATCAGGAACTTTTGATAGATTCTGTGATATCACAATCCCGTCATGTTGGGATGGAGAGAGAATTGGAGCGCTGGGTTCCTGACAAAGATGTCCCAGAGTGTCCTGAGCTAGTAAATATTTTTGCTGGCTCATGGAATAGGTTGCAATCATGCTCTCTCCTTTAGAAAAATATGTTTTGTGATAGCTTTCTGTTCCAATTTCTTCGTCCCACTTGCATCTAATTTGTTTTTGTTATTTCCACTTGATCTCCATTTTTATATACTAGATTCATTTGTTTTCAGTTGTCTTGCTTGGTTATTTCCCATCAATAAATTTGTCTGGAAAATAGATGTCAGAGAGTTCAAGATGTGATCCTACTTAGGAAATGTTCTTTAATGGTTTTAGTATTGAGAGAATCAAGGATATCAACTAAAACCTGATTTCTACATTGATATTTGATTCTGTGAGATTAGTTTAATATGGAGATGCAGGTTGAGATTTCTTTTGTCATGTTATTCTAGTATGTCTAGTTTGGTTTTTGCTATCCCCTGTAGTTTTGTTGCTACAACCAGGCAGACCCTGGTTCTGTTGTCAATGTTAGAATGTTGGTGAGCTTAAAAGAGAGGAAGCCCTTTGCAATAAAACAAAAAAGTTTAAACTTTGCTTTTGACAATCATTGTGTGTTTTTCCTGTTTTTTTTTTTGTTAATATCTGTAGCATTCATCTTTTTCTTATTAGGAACTGGGATCAGTTTGAAACCAATCAAAAGTTATTTGGTGTACAAAGTACTTTCAATGAGGAGCTTTACACAACAAAACTTGAGAGAGGTCCTCAAATGAGAGAGTTGGAGAAGGAAGCAATGAGAATAGCAAGAGAGATTGAGGGCGAGGAGACCCAGGACCTTCATCTAGCAGAGGTAACTTTCCTAGTATGTATTATTTGTCTCTTTAAGTTTGTGAATTTGTCTCTAAAATTTTCTCATGCTTATTTTATGGCAGGAGAGAGGCTTTGATCTTCATGATAATTTGGATATTGATGAGGAGATGAGATACTCCTCTGTCTTTAGGGGTAGAGGGTTTGACGATAGTGGTTATGAAGAAGAGGAGGATATTATGTTGGATTCCCACAATGTTGAGACCTTTGGAGATTCTTCTGATTCTCTCAGTAGGGGGCAGGTGGATTTGACCAGTTTTCAAAGCAGTGATGGAGCTCGAATTTCATCAAGCACTTCTTTAGTGGTAGTTATTGGCATCTGGAATTAGAAATGTTGTTCTTTCTTTTCTGAATGCATGTACATATATATATTTCCATAATACATCTAAACCATTTAAGGTGCTGTTTTATCTTGGGCTTATGTACTGTCACTCTATCAGTAAACCAAAAGAGGGTAATAAAATAGAAAGATTAGAACCACAATTAATTTTTAGTTTCTTGGTGAAAAAAATTTGGTATTGGTTATTATTAGTTAACACATCTCTTATGGTTTTTTACTCCAATATTGATGTAGACGGCTTTTCATTTTATGATGAATTGGCTTGGGAGGTATATTAGTTGGGTGGTGGGGATCTGTTACAATTTTTAGTGCAATTGTTATAGTACTTTGGTGTACTTGCTTCAACAATGCCATTATTCTGAATTATTTCTTTTCAATCTTGTATTTTCATTGCCTGTCCTAAACATAATTTTCCCCTACTGTGCTCTGATGGTTATTTCAATTTAAATTTTGGAATCTAGTAAAGGATTTTACTTGATATAATGCTAAAAGTTAGTTACATGCCAGGTAGAGAGTGCTATGAAAGATAGTTGTATCATCCGATGTCTTTCTATTTGCATGTTTTTACTTCTCTTTCTGATCCTTAACCTTTTATAACAGACTCCTGTTTTATCATTGTTTTGTAGGATGAGGCACCCTCTTCCCAAGCCGCCATTGGTGCAGATTTGTATCATACTGGCTTTAATGTTCAATCCAAACAGCTGGCATCTGAAATTCCTTCTGAAAGTTTCTCTGTATCTGACAGTGAAAGCAGGTATTTTAGACATGCCTTGATTTGTATTTTGCTGATTAAATTTGTGATCCTCCTTTCTGTCAAGTTTAAGGCAATATTAGATATTCTACTAAGGATCAGTTCTCTGGACATGATATTGGGGGTTTTTTTCCTCCTGATTTAACACATAATATAGGATCCAAGACAATTTGCTTGGTGAGCATGGAGGAAGCAGTGATGCTAAAGGGTTTGCTCAAAAGCAGTCTGTATGTTGAACATCCCTTATATTGAAATCTTTTATAGTGAATATGGAGCTCCTTAATTTGTTGCTTTAACTTCCATAACCGATCCATATCACCGTTGGATTTCTTTGTTCTAGTGATCCTAGTACTAGTTTATTTGTTTCTAACATGTTTGTTTTCTGTTTGAATTCCCATTTGTAATAATGCAGCCATATGAGGACCAGCAGTTGTCAAATTCCATCGGTGCGTGTGCTTAATCTTGCTTTATATACTATTGATCTGTACTTAATCTTGCTGCTGCAGCTGGTCATTTTATTATAGAGTAATTTGTAATGCAGATTCCCAGTCATTATTGAATGACAAGTTTGAGGGGTCTGATAAAGCTGGGCCACCAGCAAATCCTACTACTCTACCCCAAGCTAATTTTATATCAAAGGTTAGTGAAAAGCCAACTTCTTCTGGTGAACGCTCTGAGTGTCCAGCTGCTAGCAAAGTTAATGGGGAAACACATTCTGTAAACTCCCGTGGACAACCTGGTAGTTCTACATCATCAAATTCAGATTCTGTTGCTGCTATCTTAGCATCTAGTGGCCCTGGCTTATCACCAAGTTCATCAGTGGGTTCTTTATCCTCTGAGAAGTCAACACTGAACCCCCATGCAAAGGTGCAATATCTTAATGTCAACACTGTTCTATTGTTTACCGTTTAGCATGATTATTTGGTGCTTACCTTCTGTTGTCTTTTCACGCATCCTGATGTTAACAGGAATTCAAACTCAACCCTAATGCGAAGAGTTTCAAACCATCTCAGACATCTGTTAGGCTCCCATCCCCAGTCTCTGATGGTTCATTCTACTATCAAACACAAGCTACTCCTGTACCACATATGCACATGCCTGTTAATTATGGGGTAAGCCATGCAACTCTTGCATCACGCAGGGCATCTCTCGATGTCACTGCATTCTGAAATTACTAAATATTGTTTTCAAAGGTTTCCCTTGGTTACTTGTATCATATATCAGTTACCATATATCAGTTGCATATGTTGTTAAGATCCTCAGTTCTTGCCTCTTATGACTGGACAGACACCTTCGAGCTCTAAGGGGAGTTTATATGGCATTTATTCCTGTTCTTGTTATCACCTTTTGTGGGTTAAAGGTTTAGGTCGGATTAACTAGGGTTCTGACATGGAATGAAAAAGTACTACCTGGGTTCAACTTGTATTCAACTAAATCTTTGATCACGGGTAGCTGTGTACATGTGACCTTTTGTTTTCCAGTCTATAGGAAATTCGCTAAAACCTGTTACCTTTTCCAATAAATAATCTTGTATCCAGTAATTTTCAAACAAGATGCAACATCGTATGTTTTAATAATCTTTGGTATATGGTCTTTATCTCTTAAGATTCACTACCATTGTCGATTTATTATTTTTCTTTTTTCGGTGCAAAATTTATTCTCGTCCGTCTTCATGTTCACCATTGTTGATGATCACTTGGGTTTTGCAGATTGGACCCTCCTTTCCGGGACACCAACCTGTTGTATTCAATCCACAGGTGGCACCAATTCAATCACCTCAAGCATATTTTCATCCAACTGGGCCACAGGTTGGCAACTTAACAATACTATACTATTATCTTATCAACCCATCTTAATATGCTTATTTATTATTTATATTTTTCAAAATTGCAGTATGGGCAACAAATGCTTCTTGGGCAACGACCTGTGATATACTACCAACCGGTAAGTGGTTTCGAAAATTCCTGAGTTATCGTAGATTTGCTGATGGGTTCAAAAGAGTATGTTACCCTGACTCTTCATTTTAGCTTAGAATATGCTTCTTTGGACATGGATGTAGCATATTCATTTGGGACCCGAGTTGTTATTTGGAACCTATTATGATTAACATATGGTGTTTCATTTATTATAAAGAACATTCGATGTCTGGGGATCGTGATATGATCAAAACCCTGTTTTTACAGGAAATGCAATACAAAGGAAGGGAATATTAACCAGTTGTAGTTTGGTGACAACATTCTTGAGAGCCGTGCACTGCTCGTGAAAGAATAAAACTTTCAAAAGATTGCCCGGATGAACTCGAAATAATGCCCTATAGCCGTCCAAGAAAGGTTGCATAGGTTGTCTTGATCGCCTCATATATTTTCCAGGTTCCAGGGTTATATAATATTTACTGTCATGGGAAATAATTTTACAATCCCGTTTTATGCTTTTGCATAGATTTGTAGCATTCATTTAACTAACCTGGCATTTTCTCTGATTGTTTGTTTTAATGTTTTATAGTTTTGGGACAATTTGTGGTTCAATGATAGTATTGTGTTTATAGTTTTTTTTATAGTAATATTTCTGATCACTATAGCCTAATTTAATCACCAACTTGATATATTTGATCAATTTCACAATATTATTAGTAAATCTAGTATGAAATTTGGATCGGGTTGGAACCCGAATCTGATTTTTTTTAAAAAAAAATTGACCCTATCAGATCGAGTCAAGTTGGAATCTGTCGGTTTTGAGTTAAATTGGTATCCGTAATTAAGCCTCACTATTCGGCCTCAACTTTTTATCCTCAATCGACGGATTCATCGAATGGGTAGGTTATATGTGTAAACCCCTTGCATGCCCATTCAAAATCAATCTCATGTCCGAACAGATATCCTACATGAATACTCGATGAATGATAATAGTATTCAATGCTCATCATAAAACTTCATTAGTGGAATCAACAATTGGTATTTGTACTCCCAAACAGAACCTTTGAAACCAGAATCGAATTTTGAATTGTTTATGAACAACCGAACACGGATAATTGAAATGTAAAAGGATCATGTAAATAACAACTTACTAACAATTTGCAAGTGTTCATATAAAAGTTGGCATACATCTGTAGAGCAACAGTTTTGAACAAAGAAGCTATGAGATTGCCTAGTTGTAACCTATTTCATGCAGCTTCTAGATTTGATTCTGATGAAATATCTCAGATTCTAAGTTGTAATTCGCAAACGATCCTTTGCTATTCTTCGACCAATGACTGCCTGCCGCCCTTCGTTGCCTAATCATACAAGTCTAAACACTATAGTGAGGCAAGAAAACAAAACCAGAAAATGGCTTTTCATCACGTAGAAGGGGGAGCCATTTAAACGTGCAGAAACTAAAACTAATAACATTCGAGATTATGCAGAATTATACACAAAAGATCCCTTTTTAGTTCTCTTTTTAGCTCTCTGTCTCTTATCTCCAGGAGGTCTTCCTTCACTAGCAGGTTTTTTCAGTAAACTATATTTATTCTGATGTGGATGAAACATATACTTCTTGGTTTTAATAGCTCTCCTCACTAATGTTGTTTCTATTTACTATCATCTAAAAATAAATAAACTATTAATGGCCGGACAAAACCATGAAATAACCCCTCACATGCGAAAACATAGAAGACCCCTTTAAGACCAAACAATTTCATCGAATTGAGAATGGTTGTATATGGGATAGCATCTACTATACCTGGAATATCAACCAACCCGATTATTGCAATTGCTCAGGATACCCTTTAAGAACCCATGACCGAAAGCTGTAGAATTACAATACCGCACTTCATTCCAGAGTAAACGAATACATTATACACTGAGAGAACGAGTACCATCGGGCAAGAAGAATCGGAGAGGAGGGAGGTCAGGCCAGGCCAGTTGATTTGAAGTTGAAGAAGGTAAAACTAGTTGATGGGCCAACCCGTTAAGGGCCAAGCAAGTTGATTTGGGCTTTAGTACAAAATAAGGATAAATTTAACATTTAGTACCTAAATTATTTGTTTTGGTCTATTTTAGTATTTAAACTTTCAGTTTTTTCAAAATCATACCTGATGTTTAGTTTTTGTTTTATTTTAATATCCCGCCGTTAAAAACTTAGCATAGATGTTAGAACTTGACACTTTTTTACAGGTAAATTACATCATTCATCACTCAATTATCTTCTCACTCCTATTTTGGTTATTAAAGTTTAATTTTTTTTAATTTAATTACTTAACTTTTAAATTACTCCTATTTAATTACTTTAACTTTCAAATTTATATTTTTATTTTAATTATATATTAATAAAACAATAAAAATGTCATGTCACAAAATATTATTAATAAATTAAATTAGAGTGATTAAAACATGAACAATTTGAAAGTTGAGTATTTAAATTGAAAATTTTTTAAACATTATTGACCAAAATAGAAGTGAAAAGATAGTTAAGGAATGAATAATGTAATTTACCAATAAAAATATCATGTGCAAAGGTTCTGTTAAATTTTTAACGGCGATATACTAAAATGAGACAAAAACTAAATGTTAAGTATGATTTTGAAAAAAATAAAAGTTTATATACTAAAATAGACTAAAATTGATAGTTTAGATATTAAATGCGTGATTCACCCTAAAATCATCTGTTAATCATAAATATACTTAATGTTATATTGTGGTTGTGTATATGAATGACATTGATTGTATCGTTTCTCTAATTATTTTTGTCGAACATATTTATGTTATGAATGTATATAGTATAAGATCTTAACGTTTAAAGGCTCATATTCCTCAAAATCTTAGTTCTCGAACCTAAGATTTTAATGGAAAACAATAATTCCTTAATCACAAATATTTATTTTCTATTAAGCTAAGGTGATTACAAAGTAATATATGTTTTAATTATAGTTAGTTTGAGCGAGTACGCTAAATATCTTGAATTAAGATTATTTCGATAAATTACATAAATTTTAAGAATTTAAAATTATTATTATACGAGATCATACTGCATCATAATAACATATAATTGAAATTTGGATTAGATAATCATACTGCAAATTGATGTAATTAACCTTATTTGATTTGAGCTCAATTCACTCATTTACACCGCAGATTACATCGCAGATTACATGATTGGTCACTATTCAAAACCGGAGGCGGGAGCAGTCAGCTGTCAACTCCGCTTTTAACGGATAAGGAAAATAGAAATGGAAGATGATGAATTAGGGACTTCATGATCGATTCAAGTTTCTCTCTATATGTCTTCCATTGAAATGGATCGCCTCAGCTGTTGAGCTATCGGTTTCAAACAAGATTCAATGGGTAATGTTTCCTCATCGTCTCGTAATTTACTTCCTTGGTTTTGATTTTCGTATGATCTGTTCATTGCTTTCATTAGTTTATCGAATTTGCGATTTCTTTGATTTGATTTACGTGATGTGATGAGAAGGAGAGCGTTAGTTAGAGCATGTAACGCGGCTTTAAGGAGGGGGAGTATCGAATTTGTTTTATATGAAAAACAAAAATTAATGGATCGGAATTCGGAGGTGGATTTAATGTTTATTGCATGTTTGGATGCTGAGAAAGCTGAGGAAATGAAAAAGAAAAGCAAAGAAAATCGGAATATGAATTTGAATTTTCTACTCTCTTACTATCTTGCTCAACAGAATTCTATTTCGTGATCACTGAAAATTATATGCATTTTATTACTAGAGGTTTTCTTAAATATCGTTTCGCTGATCAATTTATATGGAGAAATTAGTGTTTTGAATTAACAATCGGTGTTTGTTGTGGAAGCTATTATTGGCGCCGCTTACACATGATATGAACATTTCGTTTCTCAGCGACGGATGTGGAATGTTGTTCAACTCAACTTATTGACGGAGGTGGCTCATTCAATGTTACTGGAATCGAACAGTTCATCAAGGAAGTAAAACTCGGTGAATGCGGGTTGTCGTATGCCGTGGTTTCCATTATGGGACCACAGAGCAGCGGTATGCTTGATATCTTCTTGATTTCTGCTTCATTAACGGTTGTATTTTGAATTAGAATTGTGGAATACAAATTAATCAGAGCATGATTCGTTGGATGTTCAGTCACTTCAGTGTTTTATATCTATCTATGTTGTTGTATCAATATTTTGAGGCTATTAGACACACCATGAGTGATTTTAACCTTTTGGGGGTTTTTTTTAATAAATTTTTGGGCTACGTAAGTTCTGCTTATGCCATTTAAAATTTCACTTTGTTTTCCATGATCTCGACAGGTAAAAGCACGTTGTGAAATAATTTGTTTTACACCAATTTCAGAGAAATGGATGCATTTAAAGGAAGGTAACTTAGTTTTCAGTAATAACAACACATTTTGTTTCAACTGGCTCAAACAACTGATGGTATGTATTTCCTTTTAGGTCTCAAACCACGAAAGATATTTGGATGGCAAAGTGCAATGATATAGAGCCTTGCACTCTAGTAATGGATCTGGAGGGTACTGATGGAAGAGAACGTGGGGAGGTGCTGTGGCTAACTTGCATTCTATTATTAACTATAGCGTCCAAAAATTTAAACTACATTTGTTTTATTTACCGATTAATATTTGTTCACTCTGTTGTTTGTCTTCCTTCTTATCAGCTTAAATTTTTTCCCCTTTTGATGGCAATTTTAGCAAGTTCATCCTCTAAATAATTCTTAGAAAATTTCAACCGGTTGATAATGCTAATGATATGGTAGTTGTAGGAATAGTTATAGTATTGAATGAATTTTTATTTTACCGAAGAGTAAAATCAATTAAAGGTCAGTCGTTATTTTATTTTTATGTTAAACATTTAGCTCTTAATGTACATTCTTTACTGTCATATAGGTTAGACAAAAGGCGATATTTATAAAATAGCATATTTTCAGACATGGATTAGGAGATTGTACGTGAAATTGAAGAACTGGTCATGATCACATAATTACACAGGTTTTTTAGTTAAAAGAACCCTAAATGATTTTTTTTGAAGTGAACCCTAAATGATTTTTGAATGTCTTAAAAGAGGTCCCACTGCTCTGAGAGCTAGAGTGATGGATCAAGCTGAATCGACTCAATAGTTGGAATTCAGATTATAAAAGATGAAGAAATGGATTTCTGTGTCTATTTTTGTTTGTTGAATTTTATTTGATTTTCCTTTGTTTTATGAAAAATGGGGAGGAAGAAGGTTTTCTTTTCTTTTCTTTTTTACATATTATTTATTGTTTTGCCTTACTCCAGGATGACACAGCATTTGAGAAACAAAGTGCACTTTTTGAACTGGCGATTTCTGATATAGTACTCATAAACATGTAAGGTTTGACATCTACATGGTGCTTGTTTCATTTAAGTTCATTGACATCAGTAGTATGTGCAAGTGTAAGTAATATGCTTGAGCAACTTTCATCTAGGTGGTGTCATGATATTGGACGTGAGCAAGCTGCAAACAAGCCCCTTCTTAAGAACGTATTCCAGG